AGGAATGATTGAAGTCCTGGCTGTCTCCCTGGGCTGCTTAAATACAGGCAGAGTCCATGGCAATCCCAGCTGGAAGAGCAGGGTTGGAGCCCAGGAGGAGGGCGCTTGGCCTGGAGCTCCTCTGACTCCGTCTTCATTTTGTGCTTCCAGAGTCTTTCTTTGGTCTTCCACTGGATCCCCATGCTGCGCCTGCACGGCCTCGGTGATGAGGTGCCACGATGCCGGGTGGTCCTCCTGCACCTCCTGAGCAGGGATGGGTGATCTCATGGCAAACCTGGTGCTATCAAGGAGAGTTTGGTTCCTTTCAAGCAAGAAAGCATCAGCTCAGAGCTTTTGTTTCCTTGCTGTGGTCAGAGCCTACAGAGTCATGGATGGTTTCACAAGTTTCCTCCCATAGATACACTTTGATAAGCAAAACTCCTGAACTTGGGTTTTCACGCCGTCAGATATAGCGAAAGGTTCATCCATCTGGATCAGCCTCACCCCTGAGTCTAGATGTCCCCTGATCACCCTGAGTCCCCAAAAGGCAGATGATGGCACCTGATGCAACACTTGGGCTGTTCTCAACTGCCCAGCTAGGGCGATAGGACCACAAGGTCAGCTCTGCCTTCCTCTCCCAGCTTCCTCTCATCCCACCCAGCTTGCAGCAGGAGACAAAATTTTTGCGTGGCGTTCAACAGCAAAGAGTCTCCAAGTTTAAAGCGCATCAGATCTCCGCTTGCTTCCATCTAGTTGATGGAACTCGGTGTATTCAGGTCAGAGCAATTGTGTTTGCTGCAGGTCCCTTTCAGGAGAGGGAGGGTTGTATGTGTATGTGGGCACCAGGTGAGTAGCTCCCAGGGTATTCACAGCTCATTCATTTACTTCTAATCACCAGGAATTTTGGAAGGAGGCCCAGCAATAAAGATAGGAGGCCCACAATTTTCATGGCGCTACAGTGGAGCCCTGACTAATTTCCCAGGGTTTTGCCAAGGTAAATCACGAGGGAACGTCTTGTTCTGGCCACATCTGTACAGTGAAGAGGGCTCAAGCCCAAAACTCCATCAGTCAGAGAGAGAGTGGGAGAGCCGGCGCAAAGACCCGTTCTACACCACTGTGGTACAACTGTTTTCTCCCACTAGGTGGTGGTATCTAATGCATCTTCAGCCTCCCTGTCCACATGGGTTCTTGGTTGGGATCTTGGTGGTGACATGAGCCTGTTCACACCTAGTTCAACGCTCAGAAACCACTCAGGATACCACTAGCAAGAGCTGCCTCACAGCTGTAGAGGGGAATATTTAGAAGCCAGGACAGTTCAGGACCAACAAGGTCCTCAGTCCTTGTGAGACAGGGAGGCTTCATGTGGATTTGTACACTGAGGTCAGCTATGAGCCTGGATGTTCTGTAAAACATGCGTGCCTCCAGTAATGCACCTCTGGCAGAAAAACAACACAGGGAGAGTTACCACCAGCTTTAATGACACCTGACCTACTGTCTTCTTCTTCACCACCTTGGTGTCTTCCCCTCATACCTGATGGCCTGTTCATCACATCAGTGCTCTTGGAGGCTCAAGCTGTGCCTGGGCACAGGGTGTCAGTAGACACCTTCTTTCAGTGCTACATCCTGAGCATGTTTACAGGCTTGCGATGACTGATAACACATGCCCCAAGACATTAACTGGCATTAATCTTAAGGCCCTGTCTTACGATCTTCTTCTCATGACTTCAGCTCAGCCCCTGAACCTCAAAAATCAAAATGTCTCTGGGCACAGCCGTAGGCAGTCTGTCTTGTGGCATTTTCCATCAAAAATGCATGGGCAACATCCAACTGACATAAGCAACTTAGTGTTGAGTCAACAAGAAATCAGCAGTGGATGTCCCCATGCTCCCCACGTTGACATTGCACCTCTTTTAGCCACTTTCCACACTTTGCATGTGTTGTGGTGGTGGAAAGCAAATCATCTGTTTGATCATCCCAGCTCAAATCTGTATGGTCCAAAGACTTGAAACTCGCCCTTGGCCTTAACGGAGCCAAATACACGAGCTCCTGACAGATACTAACAGGAGTGGGGCCACACAACTGCTGAAGGAAAGGAACAGCAAATAATTAAACATTTAAAAAATATTATATTTTTAGACAACTGAAATCCTGGGCCAGATTTTTCACTCCTACTTAAAAAGGGATAGTTTTATATGGAAGGAGGTGCCAGAACACTCATCTCCAGAAACTGGAGATATGATTATAGCTTAGCTGACAAGCAGAACAGGTTTTGATAGACCTTCCAAACCATTCCTTCACTAAATTAGCCCAGCACTTCAGGCTACGGACTGCCAGGCTGTAAACAGTACTTAAAAGAACTTAGTGGAAATGCTGATCAGGCCCCTCGTACGAGTTGGGGGTTCTCTTTTCTAAGCTGGTCTCCCGGGCTCCTCTTATAGGTGGCTGAAACAGATGGTTCGTCTGATCTCCAGTGGGTGATTCATCCCGTACTAAGGTAGATGCACAAATTAAGTCTTTTGACTTGCCTCCAGAAGCACCTGTTTCTCTCCATTGACTCTCCCTTCTTCCTTTTCAACCTTTCACTCTACAAAACTGATCAGTAAAAAACCCACAGACCCAACCACAGCGTTGATGTTATTACTTTATTTCTTCTGATGAGATGAGGAGCTCCAGGCACCCTGTCTACATAATTAATTTCACAGTGAAACTAAAGCCCAACAATACGTGGTAGTGTGAAGAATTACTTTTTGCAGCTTCTGCTTTTTATTGTAAGAGGGGAGGTTTTTGCTTGACTGAAGACTCTCACCAAATCTCATAGATCAAAAAATGGGGATGCTTATTTATCACTTGGATCCTGAAGAACTGAACTGTTTCAGTGATCGATGTAGAAGCAACCATTAATCATAGAATCACAGAAGGGTTTGGGCTGGGAGGGACCTTGAAGATCATCCAGTGCCACCCCCTGCCCTGGGCAGGGCCACCTCCCCCCAGCCCAGGTTGCTCTGAGCCCCGTCCAACCTGGCCTTGAACACCTCCAGGGATGGGGCAGCCACAGCTTCTCGGGGCAACCTGCCCCAGGGGCTCACAGCCCTCACAGACAAGAATTTCCTCCTAATATCTCATCTAAATCTCCCTTCTTCCAGTTTGAAGCCATTCCCCCTCATCCCACGGCTCCCCTCCCTGATCCAGAGTGCCCCCCCAGCTCTCCTGGAGCCCCTTTAGGCACTGGAAGGGGCTCTGAGGTCTCCCCTTTTCTCCGTGTCCTTCTGCTGGTGGGACCCCCCGAGCTGGAGGCAGCACTGCAGGGGGGTCTCCCCAGAGCGCAGCAGAGGGGCACAATCCCCCCCTCCTCCCCCCCCCCGCTGGCCACGCTGCCGGGGATGCACCCCAGGATGCTGGTGGCTTACTGGGCTGCCAGTGCACATTGCTGGCTCTTGTAGAGCTTCTCATCCATCAACACCCCCAAGTCCTTCTCCTCAGGGCTGCTCTCCAACCATTCTCCACCCAGCCTGGATTTGTCCTTGAGTGAATTAACAGGGTGAATAAACCATCTCAGCTGTTGGAGGGTAGCATTTTGCAAGCCAAGGTAGACTCACACCACCCACACGCTGAACCTGTGGGATGCGAGCCAGCGCAGATGAAAACACAGGCTTATCTCAGCGGGGTTTGCTAACACAGTCTCCCGATTTTGCCGCCACAGCTGACTGCTTCACAGCTTGCGTGGGGCTTTCTGCATTTGATGAGGGCAGCGATAACCTAGTTTTGACTGAAATAGTGTCTAGACCTCCCCACGTGCAGGGTACTCCTAACTGCTTCCAGACTACGCTATGAAGGTTTGATTTAGCCCTTTGTGTCTCCCCATCAAACTGCTGTAGCTGTTTTCATGGCTCTATGGCCATTTGGGAATGGGTCTCCATGGTGGACTTCCCACCAAGCTGAGCATCTCACTCCCCGCTGGCTGCCACCCCCAGGACTCCTCACAGTTGGATTTCATTGAAAAACAGTGAAGAGGATCCCACCTTCCCTCCAACTGGGGAAAAGACATGAAATATTCCTGGTGGGATTGTGACACTGGTTATTTAAGTGGAGTGTTGCTAAATTAAGGTGACACAGTTGCATTGAGCGTCTTGAACAAACAAACTTTCCCGGTAATCTCAGCTGCTTTGCTCTTCATTGGAACTTTTGATTGGACTTAAAGGGTAGGGGTGACCATTGAATGAGATGTTGGCCAAAAAAAAAAGGCTTACTTGGGCACATACCATCCAGCTTTGATTTGGGACCCCAGGGGGAAAAACGGGACTAGAAGTGTTGTTCATAACTCTCTGCTCCTTTTTTTTTATCTGCAACTGCAATTCTAACAAAATCTACATGGGCAATTCAGTCTGTCCCCTGGTTATTTGAAGAGTGACTCCTGGAGGGAATGATGGAACTGAGATGTAGCCATGTGTCCTGGTTGACTGGCTAGATTAGGGCCAATAGGACTTCTCTCCTGAAACCCATTTTCCCAGCAGATGTTCAGTGTTTGCCCCCCCACCCCCAACAGAAATTCTTTTGTATACAACTTCTTCCACTTTTTTCACTATTTTTTTTTTTTGCTTGAGGTTGGATAAGATCTCCATAAAGTAATTTCTATACTTAAAGAGCTCTTTAAAAAATCTCATCATATGCGTGAGAGTCACGACGCCCCATAGACCAGTACGCACACAGCAGACAGGGTGTCAAGCTTTTAGTTGTCAGAGAACAAAGGTTCCAAACGTCCTGGGTTGAAGCACTCAGAGAAGGTTGAAGGAAACACTAGAAACCATCACAATGTTCTGGTAAAACAGAAGTGTGTGGCTGGAGAAACCAGGAGATGGCTGAGCAGGGAGAAGAGAGCTTGGGATTACGTGTGTCCGGTTCAGACGAGCAGTGAGTCAGCAGTGGGCAGGAAAGACCACCCTCTTCTCTGAAACAGAGGGGAATGCCTTCTTCCTATCCCACCGGCAGATATTCACGTGCAAATATTACTTGTGGGAAGCATCTCCAGAAGAATCTGAGCTACTTCCATGCCCAGACCTGTAATCCCACCTTCGAGGAGAGCAGCCTCCTTCAAAGCTACACTCTCCACTCCCATCTGCGGGGCTGTATATCCCAGTTCCACAGCTCCCCTCTCCATAACTCTCCTCCCCACCAGAGCAGTACCCGCCACTGCCAGACACGCAGACACCCCCCGAGCTGGATCCCCCATAGCCATACCCTCCACTGCTAGAACTGCAAATACCACCAGAGCTTGATCCCCCGCCGCCAGAGATCGAGATACCTTCTCCTCCAGAGATGGAACCTCTCCTGCCAGAGCTGCTGCCAACCCCAGAGCTCATCCCCCCACTGTAGGGACTGCATCTGCCACTGCCAGAGCTGGATCCTCCTCCATAGCTGTGGCCACCTCCAGAGATGGAGCCTCCACTGCCGGAGCTGCCTCCTCCTCCATACCCCGAACCTCCACCACAGATGGAGCCACCACTGCCAGAGCTCATTCCTCCATGACCTGAGCTTCCTCCTCCTCCTCCTCCTCCAGAGATGGAACCTCTCCTGCCAGAGCTGCTGCCACCCCCAGAGCTCATCCCCCCACTGTAGGGACTGCATCTGCCACTGCCAGAGCTCGATCCTCCTCCATAGCTGTGGCCACCTCCAGAGATGGAGCCTCCACTGCCGGAGCTGCCTCCTCCTCCATACCCTGAGCCTCCACCACAGATGGAGCCAGAACTGCCAGAGCTCATTCCTCCATGACCTGAGCTTCCTCCTCCTCCTCCTCCGCCTCCAGAGATGGAACCTCTCCTGCCAGAGCTGCTGCCTCCCCCAGAGCTCATCCCCCCACTGTGGGGACTGCATCTGCCACTGCCAGAGCTCGATCCTCCTCCATAGCTGTGGCCACCTCCAGAGATGGAGCCTCCACTGCCGGAGCTGCCTCCTCCTCCGTACCCTGAGCCTCCACCACAGATGGAGCCACCACTGCCAGAGCTCATTCCTCCATGACCTGAGCTTCCTCCTCCTCCTCCTCCGCCTCCAGAGATGGAACCTCTCCTGCCAGAGCTGCTGCCTCCCCCAGAGCTCATCCCCCCACTGTGGGGACTGCATCTGCCACTGCCAGAGCTCGATCCTCCTCCATAGCTGTGGCCACCTCCAGAGATGGAGCCTCCACTGCCGGAGCTGCCTCCTCCTCCGTACCCTGAGCCTCCACCAGAGATGGAGC